CAGAGTAATATAAAACAAGAGAAGAGGAAGACGAGGAGGAGACAAAGTAAAATCTGGCATTTGTAGTTTCAGTCGTCTTTCCAGACACGATAAAAGTGTTAAATGCCTGTAAAAATAAATACTGACATTATATAAAAACAATCAAATGCAATCGAACAACATGCTAAAGGTTAAAAGCAAGAAAAAACAACAGCAAACATCTATGATTCGCCACATGAGGCTGATATTAATGCTAATGTTTTTATACATTCACTGGAATACTTATAATCATCTTCACAGTTTGTGTGATTGTTAAAATCTACAGCAGTTTCCATCCTGCTTCTAACTGTGTACACATAATCTCACTGTGCTAGATAGATAGATAGATAGATAGATAGTAGGGGTGCAACGATACACAAAATTCACGGTTCGGTTCGATACTTTGGTGTCACGGTTCGATATTTTTTCGATACAAAAAAATGTTCATGCCTTTTTAATTTGTCATTTATTAAAATTATAAATATATATTTTAACTCAAAAGTACAGTTTTTAAATTTAATGTTGCTGAAACAAAATAAAAAAAATAAATCTATCTGATCGAGAAATCGCTCATCTTTGGAAAAGAGAGTTTATTACAGAGAAATGGCTCTTTTCAAAATAAAAGCTATACTATATGCTTCTTCTGGGCTATATTCTCAGCAGCATATTAAACATATCAGGTCCCCATGAGGAGAATCATGTGCTAACGGCTGTCTAAATGACGGGTGAAGTTTGTAGCATGCATGCTTGTTGTTTTTGTCTGCTTCCACTTGTCTTTGCACTAGGATGTCTGTGTAAATGTGCAGTCATATTTGTTGTGTTCACACTAGTGCTGTCAGCGTTAATCTCATTGAAATGACGTTAACGCCACAACACGGCAAATCTCCGTTAACAAGTTACCGCGGATCGCCCCATGAGTGGGGCTGGACGCCCCGTTAACAGGCTAATTGCGCTAACGCACTAGTTCCCACAAATTGAGCATTGCGTGGCACATCCAACATACTGTTTTACTTTTGTCCATGACGCGCTTACCTTCAGGGTCATGCTTCACATGAAGACCAAGATGGTTCCAAACGCCAGATCTGAATGAGGGTGGGGGAGGTTCAATTTGCCATGTTGCAACGAGCTTAGCTTCTGTCTTGCTAGCTTGCGCTGCGCTCAGTGGATCTGCACTCGACAGTGCAGCCTAGGCGGAGTAGTCGAACGCAGATCCATTGAACGCTCAACACAGACAGCATCGTCAGAAGAAAAGTTGATAAAATAACTAAAAAATTTTGTATTGTTCGATACATATGCGTACCGAACCGAAAGCACTGTATCAAACGGTTCAATATCAATACGAGTATCGTTGCACCCCTAATAGATAGATAGATAGATAGAATAGAGATTTGGAAACTAAGCCACCATGGCAGCACTGACAGCTGATATCGCTACTTTAACACAACTCTGGCATTCATGTTATAACACATTCACTTTAAACACAAATCAACACTGTTCAACTAAAAAGAGCAAGAGCTTTATGAAACCTTTACAATACAGCAGGTCAGTAAAGGTGCTGAATATAATAATGATATCTAACTGATATCTATCTAATAGCATAACACTTTGTCTCAAATGTAGTCAGGAAAAACTTTTATATAGCACCAAATCACAACAGCCGCCTCAAGACACTTTATACTGTAAAGTATAAAGCAACCCTACAATAATAGAGAGAAAACCCCAACAATCAGACAACCCCCTATTGACCCTGTGCACGAGAAAATGCTAACTTCCTGGTTTGAGACCGGATGTGGGGTTGTACATTTCCGGTAGCTTTACTTTGCGGTCAATCGCTACTGCAAAGATATCCTGCAAAATCATGTCCAAAACTCGAAAACGGAAAGATCGCGTTAAGTTACAAAGAGCAGAAGGTGGGAACACTCACCACTGTTGTGTCACAAAAAATCTAATGATCAATTTTGACGTTTAAAGAGTTTAGATCGATCAGTTGTTTACATCACTCAACACAAGCAGAACTGCATCACTGCAGCAGAAGACACATCGTCCACATTCAGAAGCACATCTCTGTATAGTGACTGGTCTCATGATCTAAACAGGCAAATGTTCAGCATTCAAACTACAGGTGAAGAATAGTCAAACCAGATGTTTCCCCCATTATGTTGATATCAGCTAGTCAAGTACACACCTACACAGCATGTTAACAAACCGTGAAAAAAGCCACACAAAAAATGAATGATTGCTGGTAAGGGTTTCTATACATTAGTATTTACGAAGGGTATGTTGTGACTTACCTTCAAAATTACAGTGGTCCCTCGCTAATAACGCGTTCACCTTTCACCTCGCTGTTTCGCAGATTTTTTTAGTGGAAGTTTGCATGCTTATTTTTTTTACGTCACATTGTGTCCTGCGTCCTGATCGCTGCAGACGATCTCCTCCGTGACGTCTCTCCTGTACAGTACAGAATCGCTGCATCGATCGCTAGCAGTGTGACTCTGAAGTGCAGTACTGTATGTCCACGATGTCCAGGAAACGTTTTGCACCGTCAAAAAATAAAATTGGCTACTTGATTTCACCTATCGCTGGTTATTTTTAGACCATAACACCCGCTATAAACGAGGGACAGCTGAGAAATATAACATTTGAATCCATTTTCTCTTTTGCTCTGAGGCCCGGGGAAAAAATATCGACAAGTCGATGAACATCATTTACAGACATATTGGGTAAATGCCCAAGACATCTATAGAAATGTAAATCGCCGCTTGATTCATTCACTTGATTAACGTGTTTTGGACCGTAAACCAGGCGCGAATGGGACACCGGAAACAAAGCTCCCCACAGGAGTTTCCGCACCGGAAGTAGCATATGCTAACGTGCACATAGTCAATTGAGCAAGCTCATGGCAACGATTGGAAGGAAAAACTCCCTTTTAACAGGAAGAACGCCCCAACAGGACCAGGCTCAAAGAAGGCCAGGCATCTGCAGCTACTGGTTGGGGGTGATTGGTGGGAGATGGGACAAAAAGGCAAACTATCGGTGTGAAAGCCAGAGTTTAATAATTATTAGTGATTAAATGTGAAGATAGTGGTCAGAAACAAGATGGTAGGCTGTATCCATCCTGATTGTCAGCAATCGGAATCAGTAGGTTTCATTCATCTAGGACCAAGATTATCCAATTCCTTTCTGTCCACAGTTTCTTGAGATGCTGCCGTACCCCAATGAATATAAATATTAATTTTTATAAAAACTTAAGTGCAGTCATGGGGGAATACCCCACTGGCTTTAGGGCCCAAAGTCATGTGTGTAAGTAGGTCATAAGGAAGGAAGGAAGGAAGGAATAAAAATGTGAGGGAGAGACATGATGTAAATAATATGATTTGTAAGCAGATGCAGGTCAGCTCTGCTGTGTGTGTGGTGGTGGGGGTAACAGGGACAGCTAAAAGTACAAACAGGGGTAACCTGACCTGGTGGGAAAGGCTGTGTTATGGCTGCATTTACACAGCTGACAGGGGTTTAGCCAAAAGACTGACGAGAGAGAGCTCGTCTGTCAAACGAGTTCAAATTAAGACCACCTTTAGCAGCTTTAATGTTACATATAACTTCAAAAAGTGCTAAGGCAGCATTCACCTGTGGGTAGAGAGAGTGAATACCTGTCTGTCAAAGTTCAACTGGTGCACACTATCAGTTAGAGCCAATTTAAACACTCACATCTTCACTCTTTCTTCATCCGTCTGTCTCAATTTTCAGGGAGAAAAATAAAAATCTAATGACACATTTCCCCCCAAAATAAAATAATAAAATCACACAAGCTTTCAAACCCAAACCCGAGGAACAGGCCTGTTCCAAAGTAAGCCAGCTCACCTCCACTCTCTCTCTCTCTCGCAGAGTCATCGAAAATCAGTGTGACTCAACTGGCAACCTTTCTAAATCCACAAGGAAACCACTCATTTGCTTCAGTGATTTCTTAGAAACCTGTGATCCAAACTCCACTATTAGGCAACAGCTGTGCTGACGCTGCTCCCGACCCGTTTAAGCTAGGAAAAACCCGGTTAGTGATGAAAAAAACAGAATACAGCAGGATACATGACACAAAATGAGTTAAACATATCCTATTATTGGCCCTGTTTGACATTTGAGGAAATATGCTGTCCCCGGCTGCCACCCCTTACCAGGAGTTAGTCATAGCCAGACTAGTCAAACTCAAATTCCAGTCTTTACACTAAGCTTTAGCTTCATTTCACTTGACTCACACAGCTACATGAAAGCAGCCTGAATCATCTCTTCCAGTTCTTGGCAGGAAGGTGACTGCATATATCGCAAAGTGCTGAACTATTCCTTTAAGATCACTCACTCTCTCTTTCACACACACACACACACACACACACACACACACACACACACACACACACACACACACACACACACACACACACACAAACAATTCCAGTATCCAATGTGCTCCCCATCTGCTGTCCATTAGGCTCGTTTTTCATCCTTCCTGCTTTCCAGAGGAACTGTTCAGTCTCATTATTGCTACAACTCCTTATGAGGTCTTTGCTTTGATGAAGTCTTTATTGTTGAATACTACTCTGGACTCTAAATGTGTCATTAAATGGAGAAATCCCAACTTCCCACTGATGCCTGCTTCGTTTGCTTGTAGGAGCAAAGCGGAAAAGTCAGGTGACATCTGAACACGTAAAACAAACATTTGCTATCGCTGATGGCGGCCTACGTGCCGAGAAGCATGGCACACGGGCAGGTTGGTTAAACGTAATGGTAAATACAGGGAGTCGTGTTTTTGATACGTAACCATCCTTCATTAGTCTTTTATTGCTGGTTTAATGTCTAAAAATCCTTTTTCTTATTTGCGCTCCATCATTACTACGACTGAAGACAGAGCTGGTGGTGCTATTGACAAGTTACTAGCAGTGCTTAGTTTTTCTTCTCAGAGTCACCTGCTGGGGTCTTTTTTATCTTGTCTTGTAAATGCTTACAAGAAACAAATATCCTACATGTGGAAGTCAGCGTATGTTTGGCTGCGCGTTCGCGTCCCCGCCGCCGTCTCGGTCGGTGCCGCTCTCACAGGTAGGTGGTGGTCTCTCTGTTCTCCCTCTCTTTGGCCTGAGCCACAGCCACGTTGATGCACTGCAGCCACTCTTCAGCGTGTTTCTCATCCTGAGCCTTCAGCACGTACGTTTTACTGTCGGTGAAGATCTCGAAGGCGCGCGGCAGACCCCGGTCCCGACGCTTTTTGGCTACCACCTGCAAACAGAACAAGTGGGTGGGGAAGATTAATAGACAAGACGACTTCATCATCTAGCTCGTTTGGAGGAGAGCTGCTGTCTTTTAAAAAAAAAGTGTTTTGGCTTCATGTTGGTTTCTTCTATCATATTTATAGTAGCTTATTTATCCTTGTCAAGCTGATCTGCTTAGCTCTGAATCCTGGGAAGAGTTTAGACCTTTAGGTCACATGATATATTAGCTTCAAACTGACAGAGGTGTAAGTAGCGCTGATGGTGATCAGTGGTGAGGATATGGGTAAGTGATGGAAGCGTTCTGAGGGATGATGGCAGTCACCTTGACGCTTTGCACCTTGCTCAGCTCAATCGGGATGTCATCCAGCTCATCCTTCTGTGGGGAGGACACACAGTGACTTTAAATACTTTACTAGGAGATAAATAAAATACAGGGTGTATCACAAAGAATCAGAAACTGATTTCAAAGTGCTTTAATTCATCTGTAACAATCAAACACATCCTGCTAGTAAGAGGTGATTCGCGAGGTTGCCGGTAGGTAGAAGTGGCCAGCTCTCCTCCCCCTCCCATCAAGTCTCAGTCAATTTGGCGATCGTGCAACAGAAAGCACTGGAATTTCTACAGTCCTCCCACTCCTCAGTCCCCTCCTTTCTGTATTTTACCCACCTACCGTAAGGGCCATTTGAATTGTATGAGCTGGTAAGTTTGTGTGCATATTGCAACACAGCCATGTCTTCTTACCCCCATATTTGGTTAAGCGGTTACAACCACTTAACCAAATATGGGTGCAGACTCATGGCAAGTTACCACATCCTTTCTTTAGTGTGTGTGTGTGTGTGTGTGTGTGTGTGTGTGTGTGTGTGTGTGTGTGTGTGTGTGTGT